CAAAGCGATGACATCATCATTGGGAATTTGTACCTTTGCATGATATATCTTGGTTCTAATTTTTCCCCCATTCCCCTGCCCTCCCATCAACCTCACCACCCCTCCTATTTACAAATATTTTGTTTCTGTTTCTTCCTTCTCTCATATTTGTTCCTTTCTCTTCTTTCCTTTCCCCTCTCCCTTCCCCTTCCCCTTCCCCTTTGGACCTTTTTTCCTATTTCAAATTATCTATTATACATTTTGATCCTTATTTACATTTTCAGTTTTGCACGTGAGAGAAAATTTTGGTATGTACAGACGGGTGTCCTATTTATTTCACTTCAGAGTATGGCCTCAATGTGCATCCATGCTCCTCTGAATTATACAAATCCTCCCTCACTTCCCAGTCCCTGGAAAAATTGTCTTCCACAAACCAGTCCCTGGTGTCTAAAAGATTGCTCTGTGTAGTGCTCCATAGCACACTGTAAACTGCTCTTAGAATGTACTAAAACCCAGGATATGACCAGAATGTTCTTTCTCTTCAGGAATGGCAAGTATGTGTCAAGGGTAGAGAACGGAGATTACACAGAAGGTAGAGGGAAGTGACTCAGGCACTGGCACTGGCACTGGCACTAGAGCCTGCCTTCTTTTCTCTAGCTTCAGTCCCAGGAGGTAAAACTGCTGTGAGAGGGAAACAACAGCATGATTTGATCTTTACTTCTTGAGAGACTTTCTCCTCTTGCTAAGGTTTCATTTTTCAGTTCCTATTTCAAAGAGCCTGGGTCTCTTTTGTTTTTGCATCTGATATCAGTTGGTGTCTTAAAGACTGTAATCATCAGCTTCAACTCTAAAGAATTTTCTTCTCCTCTGGTCAAGAAAAAATGGAAAGAGGAATGAGAATGGGCCTCTCAGTTACAATTGTGCTGATGTTAGATGAAGAACTTGGATCTAATGAGTTTAAATGGATATTGCTTCTGGTGGGTCTGTGCTCTAAGGAGTCCCCAGACTCACCCCCCACTGGGCTTGTCTCCTTCCGATTTAGAAAGAGAAAAAAGAGTCTGGGAAATAATTTTATTGTAGATATTGAAAGATGTGGTAAAAGCCATTCTAGGAGAGGAGTGGGGACACTTAGAATTGCAACATCACCGAGGCTGGGGCTGCATCCTGTTTGATGGGGTAGGGGTCCCGTCTACACCTCCCTGAGAGGTGACACTTGATTGGTTGAATATTGGCTTGTTGTTAGAGGTTTGGTCTTGTGGATTGGTAGGGGGATTTGGGTAGGCATGGCAACTTGCATGAGGAGAAGAGGATCAGTGCTGCCTGCACAGAGGCTGGGGTCGAAACCACAAATCTGTCAGCCTCAGACAATAAAGCTGATTAAAAATTACTTGGTGCTCATTGCCCACAGAGGTTTTTTTTTTTACCCTCTAAAAAATGCTTGGCTTTTAACTCTCCCCAGGTTTCCCTTCTATCCCTAAAGTGGACCTCTTTCCTGGGCTCAGGTGTGGTGGGAGGAAGAGCCAGGTGAGGCCCAGCTGTGGGACTCAGGACTGGGAGTTGTCAGTAAGAAAGAGACCAAGCCAGAGTACTGTGGCTGCTGCTCTTCTAGGCCTCTCAGTCCCGTTCAGTTCATTGTTTGCCGTAATGATTCTTGGAAAGGGATGCCATCTTTTTAATAAAATGACTTTTTATTTCAAAACTTACAGAGTAAAAACAAGATAAAATTTGTATTTTAACTTGATTGTTTCAGACAAAGACACACTCAACACAACAGTTTCTAATTAGACTATTATGTGGAACAAATTGGAATTACACACCACATAACCAAATGTTCTGCTTTGTCTGTGTATATGAGTGAGAAGGGTGAAAAGATAGCACCTTCTAAGACATTTTGATTTGTTGTTTACATGCACTATTTTGACATGTTTTCCAATGCTTTTTCTTTCTTGCTTTCTTTCCTCCCCCGCTTTCTTTCTTTGCTACTACAATCTTACTTTCAAGGACATTTTTTAGGAGCAATATGACCATGAGCCTGTAAAAGTTGAAAAATTGGAAATGAGTCTGATGCAGAAGAAAAAGCACACCTTCTACAGAAAGCACTTTTCCTCCACAGTCATGTCTCAGTCTCTTTTGCTCTATGTGTGAGAATAATAAATCTTCCTGTGTTACATTTTATTTATCAACATTTTTATGTACTTCTCAGGGGAATACTTGTTTATTAGCTATAAAAATGTGCATGGATTTTTAAACAGTTCTATCTTTCTGTGATAATTATTTCAAAATGTTGTGTTGGGATGGGTCATATTATTTTTTCCCATTAAATTTGCTGCAACATCGTTTTAGTAGATTTTTATTTATTGACCCAGTTTTCGAGAATAAATTTAAAAATTTTTGAGGAATAGGTGCCTTTATTTTAGATCCTTGACTGCTTTTCTTTTCTGTGCTCAATGTAATATTCTCCATTATGCTTTTTGATATAGTGAATGTTATCAATTCATCTGTTAAAGGAATTACATTCAATTTACATATGAGGAAAATGGTAAAAGATTAAATTTCTTCTCATACAGAGTGGTAATAAGCCAAGACCATGGTTTAAACCTCAAGAAGCTATGAAATTCATCTTTTGACCATCATTCGTGAATTAGAGCAGATAACATAAGCTATAGTTAATTATATGGAATCAGAAAAGAGCCAAACTGGCAAAAGCAACAAAAATAAAGCAGGAGACATCATAATCCTGGATTCCAAGTTATTCTAAAAAGTGACAGTTATTAAAAACAGCATGGTACTTGCACACAAGCAGACATCCTGACCCCTGGAACAAAACTGAGGATGCAGTAACAACTCCAGGAACCTTTAGGATCTTATTTTCAACAAAAGGGGTAAAAACATATGCTGGTAAAAAGACAGCTTAATTAACAAACAGTGCTGAGAAAATTGGTTATCCTTGTACAGAAGAATGGATTTAGATCTATTTATCTTGCCCTGTACTAAAATCAAATCAAAATGGGTCAGAAGCTTATATATAAAGTGGAAACAGTGGATCTATTGGAAGAAGAAAATGGTAAAAATCTTGAATGGATAGGCATAGAGAAGGACTTTCTGAAAATAACCTCTGTTGAGCAAGAAATAACACCAAAAATCAACAAATGGTCTATACTAAACTTAAAAGCTTCTTCACAGCAAAGGAAACAAACAACACAGTGAAAAGACAACCTAATGAATAGAAAAATTTTGCCAGCTACTCCTCAGACAGAGGACTGATATCTAGAATACATAAAGAACACAAAATAATTAAGACTCCCCAAAATAAAAGACCTAATCAGAAAGTGGGCAAGTAAAATGAATAGACACTTCTTAGAATAAATACAAATGGTCAACAGGTACATGAAAAAATATTTGGCATCCTTGGTCATTAGAGAACTTCAGATCAAGATAACACTAAAATTCAGTCTTACTACAGGAAGAATGTCTTGTCCTCATGAATTTAAAAACCAACAAATGTTGGAAAGGTTGCTGATGTCCTAGTACAACCACTATGGAAATAAGTATGATGATTTACCAAAAGACTAAAAATAGAAATTCCGTTTGACTCAGAAATACTCCTTCTGAGTATCTTCCCAAAAGAGTTAAAGACATCTATTACAATGATACATGCATAACCATGTATATAGTGTTAAGTGAATTGTGACATCTCAGTGCTACAATCAAGGGTTATAGCTATCCAGTAGAATTGGGACGCAAAGAAGCAAAGGACACTCAGAAAGATGGAGAATACCAAGGTGTTTTAAGCCAGCAGGCCCAGAGAAATTTTCACTCTGAAGTCTGAGTCCTGAACAGAAATGGAAGCCACCTTCTATAGAGATCAATGGGGTAGGAAAGTTGGGTTCATGTACCAAGCATGCTTATAGAACCAGAAGGGCAGACTTAAGAGAACATGTTGAAACATCAGGTAGAAACATGTTTCAGCTTGTACAGTTGTAGTTAGGGCAATTACATTGCTTGAACTGTTACATTTGCTGTTCAGGTAGCTTTAATAAAACATCCTATGATTCCTGGCAAAAACATGGGATTGGGTGCTTGGGAACAGACAAAGGTTTGCCATGTTATGTATTATTTCCTTATCAACTGCAGCACAATTCATAATGAGTAAACATTGGAAGTAGCCTATAGGAACATCAACAGATGAATGGATAAAATATACATATTTTTTTTCTACTCAGCTATAATGAAGGACAAATTTGAGTTGATTGCAGGGAAATGGCTGCATCTTGAATACACAACGCTGAATGAAATAAATCAGACACAACAGGTTAAATATCACACAGTTTTTCTTATACAAGAAACCCAAAATATAAATAATTGAAAGAGTGAATTAAAAGACAGATGATAGGAAATATGGAGAGACACTATAGGAAGGAGATCTGTACATAAGGGAGAAGGCCAAGAGGGAAGGGGAAATAATAAGATCAAGATGTGATATATATATGTACCAACTTCCCACAGTGAGTACACTCATTATGCAAAGCCAATATATACTAAGAAAGATTTTAAAGGTTTTTAAAAAGCTACAAAATAACTGGCTCATTGAGTTGTAATATCAGGCTCTACTCTAAGTAAATTATATATAGTTTGAATTTGTAAGAGTTCTACCATTTGTGTATTGTTATTTCATCTTTATTGTATTGATTTAGGAAAACCAAGGTGCAGAGAATTTACTCATTTAATTTCTCTCTTTCTGTCCTCTGCCCCATTCCACATGGAATTTAAAGCACTATTTCAGAATAATATGCTTAATGTCCCCAACTAAAAGTGCTGAGTCACTTGTCAATAAATGTCTGTAGAACTCCCAACTCTATACATATCCCTCTCATGGATGTGCTATAGAATTGAAGGGCACACTCTCTCCCAATTCCCAAAGATTCCAAACATGGTTGCTTGCCAACCAGAGAACAAGTGGCCACTCCATAGTGGGACAGATGGCCTCTGGGGTTCCTGAAGTCACAATGAAGATGCCTTGAACCATGTGGGGAGTTTGGGTGATGCACTGAGCCCTGTAAATGTTTGAGCTAAGCTTTTCTGCCCTTGATATTCTTAAAGATGCCTGAAGTACTTCCTGAGTTATAAGAGACATACCAGGAAAGCTCAACGATTTATTGAACACTCTCTCCTCATGTGTATATCATTTTCTTAAGGCATTTATAAAGACCATTTTTTATTCCCTATAGTGGAACTGTCAGGAGAAAGAGTGAAGTTTTGGGAGGAAGTCAACTCTGCTGTCCTTGGTAGAGACACTTCCGCTTCTGGTAACGATGAAAGAGTGGGTAAGAATCTTAGCTGGAAACATTGGGAACTGTCACAGCCCCGGTGAACTAGAGGTCATGTGGCCCATCTAAGAGATGGATTGGTGCTCCTCACTGTTGGAATCTTTGATTTTTCAAAGTCATAAATCTATATTTTTAGAATAATGTCATAACTTTTGCATATTGGGCCTATTTTTTTAAGGGCTATTCTTGTCAAACAAAATAGGCCTAGGCTGAATTTGGCTCCAAAGCATAAAGAAACATGACAAGTACCTGTTAAAGATCTCTTAATTGTCTTTGTGAAAGACAAAAATAATGAACCTACCTGTGTGTTTCAGAGACACTGAGTTCATCTGTTGAATTAGAAATAATAAAATGAAAATGACATCTCGAATTATTTAGGAAACTGACATGTGTGGATGAAAAAGGAGAGATTTTTAATATGGGACAGAACCTCAATTTATCCTTTCAAAACTAAATGTCATAATTGTTGAATCATGTATGATTTACATTCTAAAATATTCAGTGTACTAGATAAAATGAACATGGAATTTATCAGGACTAATTGGTGCAGAACTCAGTGGTATAAGACATAATACTGAGAATCAACAAATAGGATTATATCAAATTAAAAAGCTTCTGCACAGCAAAGGAAACATCCAACAGATTGAAGAGACAACCTACAGAATGGAAAAAAAAAATTCCCAGCTACTTCTCAGACAGGGAGCTAACATCTAGAATATATAAAGTACTAAAAAAAAAAACACCTCCCCAATAAAAACTCAATCAAAAATTGGGCAACCAGAATAAAAGGACACTTCTCAGAAGAAGTACAAATGTCCAATAATTGTTGGCCATTAGAGAAATGTAAATTAAAGAAATACTGAGATTCCTTCTCACTCTATAAAGAATGGCTATCATCAAAAAGTCAAATGATAACAAATTCTGTTGAGGATATGGGGAAAAAGGGAACCATTCTATAAATACTGGGAATGTAAACTAGTATAACCACTATGGAAATCAGTGTAGAGATTCCTAAAAATTCCAAAAATAAAAATATAGGAGAAAGCATGTGATATATATGAAAGAGAGACCAAAGTAAAAGATATATAAGCAGAAATTAGGGACAGCTTTTTCACATGGATGCGGGGACATTCACGAAAGAGGATTCTCAGAACTGCTTCTGAAAGTGGCAATAATTACAGGACAAGTGTGTTGGAAATGAAGGAGAGTATTTTGAGGAGTGATTAATGGCAATTTATTACACTATCCTTTACTGTAATAAAAATATTAACATTCACTATATTTTTATCACACTTCATAAACATGGGCTTCAGCACAGTTTTCTGAAAGCGGGTGTGGAACATTAACCTCATTAACTTAGTGGGAATGCAGGCTGTCACTCCCAGCCCTGCTGGCGACCAATACTACAGCTCATGCCCAAGTTATCTTGGACTTTTGTTTCCTTCCCATATCATAATTTCCCTGCATCACATTGTTTTCTTCACTGCACTATCGGCAGTGGAATAGTAACAGGAGTACTCATTTTCTTGTATCCATTGAGGGTTCTTGTATCCATTGAGATTGTACACTCATTTTGTTGTATCCATTGAGGGTGTTTGTAGGCCATGGTTGAGGTTTCTTCAAGGACCAGAGCAGAGTTTTAGCCAAGGAGAGAGTCTGGGTCCCTTCTCACCAGGGTCATGTCATTTTTCCAGAACCACCCAGACCCAAGTAGGGAGCCTCACTGCCTCAGGGTGCCAGGTTGAGTCATCTATGCCCATCTCATGGCTGCCCTATCACAGGCCCCTTCTGGTCCAGGTGCTCCCCACTGCTCCTTGTCAGTCTCAGCACGTAGGACTGTCCTCTAAGACAGGAGTTCTGGTGCTCATTGCCTCAGCCTGCTGCACACAGCTGGCAAATCAGTTCTAAAGAACTGCCAGGAACAGGGCCTGGGCCCACAGACCTGCCTCTGGCAGGAGATCTTTCTCTTTTACTTTTGAGACAAAGCGGCCCTGTCCCTTCGGCTTTTTCTAAGCCTCTGTGGTATTTTCTTCAAACCCTCTCCTCTGCAATGACCTTAGGCTCTTGGAGAAATAATTGAGGATATTTTGCTTTTATTTCTGCTCAGTCCCATTTCAGCTCGAGGCTTAAAAGCCTGCCATTGGATTGACTAGAGAAAAGGGAAAAAATTTAGAGAGGAGGACAAACACTAATGTCTTATTTTCCAGCCTCACACATACTAGTTGGCACAAAGAATTTGAACACAGGTTTTGAGTTTTACCCTGTTGACACAAGAGGGCCCAGAAGGGGCTCAGCTTTGCACCACTGATGGTTCACTCGTCACGGAAAGCGCAAGGGTTCTCCCCTGCCCGCCGTTGGTTGCCAGGCTAGTCCTTACTTATGCTAGCTTTTCTAGCCATCACATTATTTACTTGCAGCAGTGAGTAACCCTCATGATACTAAATGGTCAAGTTACATGCAAGTCATCAGATGGGTTCACCCCTAAAGCTTGCTCTCCACTGACTTTCATACATCTGAAGAGGAGTTCTTGACGCCCCCTACTGAACCACATGGTCATGTCAGTATGTCCACTCAGACTGACACTAACCTCAAGGGTTACCCTTCTTTAACTGAATCCTTGGCTGTTGCTATTTAGTACAAATGTTCTATTCTCTAACATAAATGGGTCACCACCTTGCCTCTGGTGAGAGGCACTGGCAGTTTGCTCACATAACTTCTCTTCTCTGTCTTTTCTTCTGGAACAATTTTCCATTTTCCAGGATGACAATCATTTTCCTCCTTTTAGAGGTATGATTTTTTTTTTAAAGGAAAACAAAGATAGAGCCACAGTGCCTGTTAATATAATTACCCACTTCTCTTTTTACTAAAGAACTTGCTTGGTCAATGACTGAAAAAGTTTAATCAACGGGATTTCAACATGGAGACATATTGATGCCCATCTTGGAGATAAAAAGACACAAAGTGGTGCTCTGACACTTCTATTTGGACACAGGTCTGTGGCCTGCGATTAGCACTTCCCAAAGGCCTCCTGTGAGCAGTTCTCTCTCCTTCTCTCTGTTGCATAACACTAAAGTCAAAGAGGTCTTCTGTTGCATTCAAGATTTCATTCCTTTTATGTTTTTTCCCTTTCACTTGGAACACACTGTATTGCTTTCATGAAGCTGTTTATAATGTAGAAGATTAATGTCTTTCATGGGTGTGTTCCTGCTTCTTTCCCCTGGAGTTGCATGGGAACATTTGCATCTGATGTAATTTCTCTAATGGATGCCAGGGTCCTGTGCTGCCTTCTCCCCTTGCCCCTTTCCTAGAAGCTCCCTCACTCATGCGTGCGTGTGTGTATGTGTGCATGCTACTGAAGGCCAGAGGCTTGTCTAACTTCAAGATGCATCCTGGTTCTGTTTACAGGGGAGGAAGGAGAAAGTCTAGTTCTCTGGAATGAAAGGAGGGCATGGCAGTCAGTCCTGTCAGGTGTCAGAACAAAACAAACACATAACTCGTCGGCTTCCTCTGGAGTTCAGTGTCACAATCAACTTCCTGTTTCCTGATTTTGGCAGACTCTGAACCCAGGACGGCTCTATATTATGTTTATTTCTACTACTGTGTTACAGTTGCCTCCTGCATAAAACAATGGATACCGAAGAGGTTCGATGTGTCACAGGGCCAGGTGTCATCTCTGTGCACTTCTGAAACGGAAATGGAACAACTCTTCTGGAATGCTTTTCTGTCTGCAGAACCACCTCTTGTAAGCGTTTCCTAAGAGCTTTTGTCTGATTGAAGGCTTATTTTCTGGAGATTCCCAGTGTGCATAGAACAAGGGTTGTAGGTAGGGGAACCCAGAGAGAGGAAAAAAAGAAATTGTTTTTTAATGACACAGAAGCTTGGACTCAAGAACCACATGGTCTTAAAAATAGATAAATGAGTTTTGGTTTTATTCGCAAGATGGCTTGTTTAATAACAGTACGTGTATATTGCAGAAAAATATAACACATGGTTGAATATATCAGGTTTTATTTCCCTTATTTGTTCCTTTATCAGAAGGAATTGCTTGAATCAGAGACTATTACTTGAATATTTGCTGTCTGCTAGTCAAGCTAAATGTGAAGGTTGACTGCCAAACAACAGCTATGAAACATAATTTTTAGTTTTGCAGCCCTTCACTGCAATTTTAAAACATTTTTACTATATGTGCTGCTGAAGTGAGCACATTCAAATTTTAAATAATATACTATTTATTATATTAGTAAATTTATTATATTAATAAATAGTCACCGGAAAAACTAAAAATAATGAATTGTGTAAAGTAAAAAGCAAAATTGCCTGTTCCCTATTTTCTGTACAGTTAGACTTATTGGTAATTTGAAGAATATTCCCTAGTCTCAATGGATTTTCTATGTAATAATAACACAGTGGAACTTGAGTCACAACTGACCTGACACAGGAACAACCTGGATTATAACTGGAATTTTCATTTTAACTTATTTACGATCGAAGTCTTGAGTTACTGCCATAATGCCAGCCTCTTGTACTTCCAGATGGTCTCAGATAAAGATTTTACACTCAGAGAGCTCTGGAAGGAACACTGCAACAACCTTTCTTGAGTGGGGTTTAAAAATCCTGAGCCAATGTCTCTAAGGACACTAAAATCTGCCTCTATACAGAGGCATAATATATATATTATGAAACTTTGAAGGCTGTGTGGAAGAGCCTGACTGACTTGAGTTACAACCAGCCTTCTAGAATAAATGAATTTGTAAGTCAAGGGTTCACTGTATTTCAGAATATTGTACACAAAAGGAATCATACAAAAGTTTCTAGAAGATTTTCCACTGACCAGTGTTTTGTGAAATTTCTGTGCTTGCACATTGTGATTTTCCTTATTATTTTGGGGGCTAGTGTAATATGTTATTATGTGAATTGCTGAAATTTATTAAATTTGTTGTCCATTAAAGATCATTTAGGGTCATTTTGTGCATGGCTGTTACTACATTTGTTTCTTTAAATTTATAAGCAAGACCACAATATATTTCCTTATACATTTATTTGTTTATATAATTTTAATATTATGAAACAACAGGGTAATGTGCATTTAAAATTTTGACAAATATCTTCCAAAAATTTGCATTGACATCGATGTATAAGTCATTATTTTAAAAACATTCATTAATCCCATCTCTGAAAGACTAATAACTAAGCTAATTTACATATCCTCTCCCGACACATCCTTTTTCCAACTGTACATTTTTTAAAAAATTCAGTTATTACCTAATCTTATCAAGTAATTCACTATTTCAGTACCTTTTATTGACTTGTTACTTCTTAAGACATTTATATTAGGTAGGATCTTTTATTCTCCATTATGTAGGAAGAAAAAAATTAGCACTTCTACAATTCATCCATATAATAATAATTGCATTTTCTTGACACCTTTTTATTTGAGTTTCTTTTTTCTTTTAGACAGATCTTGAAGTTTAAAAGTCAGTAAACAGAGTTTGTCATACTTGAACTATAAAAATCACTATTCAGAGCTGAGCCACTAAATCTATAGATTTGGAGATGTTCTATAGTATTTTAAGTCTGTGCCACACAAAGGACAACACTGGCAATCCTCTGTGCAAAGAGATGTTATTTCTCCACATTTTATTAACATGACCTTCAAGAACAGCTTTTTTTATTCTCTTCCTCCTAGAATTTGTAGAATTTGCCTTTCGTTTGTTCTGAATAAAAATATTCATATATTTTTCCTATTAGCTTCTCCAGTATTTTCCTAGAATTTATCAGTTGAGTATTGGGTTATATTCAGGTTTCCTACTATGTCTGGGGTCTGTATTTAATAAATTAAAAAATTTGAAAATCATTCACAGACTAGAAGGAAAGGATAGAAACAAAACTTTTGTAAATAGGGAGGGGAAGAGAGATCTCAGGGAAGAGAGGGGAATGGGACAAAAAGAAGAATCAAGATATATCCTGAACAGGTACAAATTCCTTAAACATATCTAAAATGTACCAATAAATTTAATTTCAAAAACATTACAAAAATTGTTCAATTTCCCATGTATCCAATTTATTTGATCAGTTGAATAGTGATTCCTTTTTATCCTCCGCTTCTTTGATGATGCTTCCCTTCCTCCCTTAAAAATTGTACCTGATTGTATTTATCTTATTATTTAAGCAAACTACCATTTATTGTTCATGTGGGTTTCAAAGACTGTCTTGAATTTTTTCCACTTCCTCCCTCCCTCTCTCCCTTCCTTCTTTCTTTCCTTCTGCCCTGCCTCTCCTCCCCTCTCCCTCTCTCTCTCCCAGCCTTCACTGTAGGGATTAACCCATGCCCTTTGCAGCCAGTTACACCTCCAGCCCTTATTTTATTTTTTATTTTGAGATAAGATTACACTAAGTCCCTTAAATTGCCCAGACTGAACTTGAATTGGGAATTATCCTGCCTCAAACCTCTAGCATGGCTGGGATTACAGGCATGCTCTACGACACCTGATGTATTTATTTTTTCAGTTGCTCTTGTTTTTCTATTTATTGATTTCTGTTTTGTCTTTATTATCTCTTACTTTTTCTTAAAAATTTATTGCTCTTAATTTTCTAACACTTGAGTTCACATGACGTTTTCATTTATGAAGAGTGTCTGTGATATTAAGGTCCAATAAAAAAACATGTATTTGATCCTAATCCCAGTTTTTGGCACAGAATTGTTAAAAACTTTACAATTTTCTGAGTAATTAGGGTACTAAGTATTTATTTTCTTCTAGCATAAGGTCTTTGGCTCAAACTCCTGATCCAGAACTGCTTACCTCTTGAAATTGCCTAGATGATAGGAGTGTCTTTTTTTTTTTCAACTTTTATTTTCTTTCTGTGGAACTGGGGATTGAGCCCAGGACCTTTGCACTAAGCTACATCTCCAGTCTTCTTTATTTTGAGACAATGTCTAGCTAAACTGCTGAATTGCCCAGACTGGATTCAAACTTGTGAACTTCCTACCTCAGACTCCCATAGTGCTGGGTTAAGAGACAAGCACCACCACCACAAGAGTGTCTTTTGTTTCCATGAGTTGACATTTCATGGACTCTAAATTGGGAGCTGGAGAAGAGACCAACAATGATGATGACTTCAGCCTCATCTCCCACCCCAGGATGATATGCCCAGAGATGGCATTAATAGTAGATCATGTCTATGTGATGAACTGTAAAGATCTCCAAGTCCCTATGACATTTTGGAAGTTTGCAGGTTTCTGAACACAGGGAGGTGCTGGGAGGACCATGCACTTGTGGAAGGGATGGAAAGGCCCTACCTGCCCTCATACTTTGCCCTATACCCCTCTTTTATTTGATGTCCTGCTGTATACTTTTAATGCACTTCAAATAAATGGACACATATGTTTCCCTGTATTCTGTTAGCTTCCCTAGCAAATTCCTGAACCCAAGAAGGAGACTGTGGGAACCTCAGTTTGTAGCTGTTCAGTCAGAGGTACAGCTCCTAATGTGGGGCATTTGAAGTGGAGGAGGATTTGTAGTCTGAGCCTTAGCCTGTGGTGTCTGATTCTAACTCCAGGTAGACAGGGTCAGAGTACAGTTGAAACCCAGATGCTGTCAAAACAGCATTTGTGTGTGTGTGTGTGTGTGTGTGTGTGTGTGTGTGTGTGTCTTATAGATCCAAGATTGGCCTATAGACCTATGAGGGAAAAAAGAAAAAAGATTGCCCAGAGAATGCTATGTAGCATGATAGAGTTGATTTTTGGAAGATCAATCCTCAACATGAAGCTGATGACCAATGATTTGTGAACGTAGAAGATACCAACTTCTAGAGGCACAGGGCACCTTTCTCACCTGAGACACCCTTCCCACTGCAGCAGGATGTGTACCGAAAAGTAAGGCCACCTCAGGAGCTTTCCCTCTGTAACACATTGCCTTCTTAGCTAATCCCTGCCCTTCTTCTGCTGTCTTTCTTCTATCTGTTGTCTCTGACTTGAAGATTATATAATTTATATAATTTAATGGTTCTTCTTGGAATCACTCAAAAATATTATGGCTTTGGATTATGTCTTCATCTCTTACCAGCCATATTGTTAAGAATTTTCCATGAAACATGCAGTACCGTGTGCTGAAAATGGGCAAGGCAAGCACGTAGCATGACAGGAAATGCATGTTTGGAAGTTTAGGCCTGGTAACAGGAGTGGTTCTGCTGCTGTTTCCAGGCCAGAGATGATGGTAAAGGCAGAGCCTACAAGGGCTCAGAGGAAGAGAAAGCTGCGAGGAGAGACAGCTGACCTGAACTGTGCTCTTTCATCCAGATGAAGGCCATTCTTCCCCGGGCCCCCAAGGAGGAAGGCAGAGGAATAAATACCCTGACTTCCCGCTTCTCTTTAGACTCCTGTCAGTACTTTTTATTTATTTATTTATTAACATGCAGTTGTGAGAAATAATGATTACATTCATCTTGAAGAACTGGTGTATATACATATTGAATCTTGATTTTATTTTTTATTCTCCCTTCTTCCCGCCCTCCTATTTCCTCCTATTCCAAGATTGCCCTTCCCATCTCCACAAACTCTACCTTCCTGTTTCCTCTTATCTCTCTTTTACTTTGCCTTTTTTTGGTTTGTTTCTTGAAACAACGTCTCATTATGTAACTTGCTGTATCCTCCTGCCTCAGCCTCTTAAGTGTTGAGATTACAGGTGTGTGCCACCACACCCAGCTGAATTTTGCTCTTTAAATTATTTATATCTTAGATTTCTTATATAAAAGAAACTGCATGATACTAAACTTCTGTGTCTGATATATTTCACATAACATTATGGTCTCAAGGTGCATCGTTTCTTCTACAAATGACTCAAATTCATCTTTCTTTACAGTTGCGTTATACTGTATTGGCAACCGCTACTTAATATGACATTCTAGAAGCAATTTTAGAGTTTCCTAAACACCACCTAAATGTATTATTTCACTTAGGAGGAAACAGGACTGATATCTACCCTTGAAGAGTATTTTTAAAAATTGAACAATGAAAGTAATTGCCACAGCTACAAACTGTGTGACGGAGAACCTGACTGTTGCACTGTGGTTGCTCCTTGACCCCAGTAGTTGCTGACCATATCTGCAGTCAGCTGCAGGCCCCATTCTCTGGGAGATGTAATGACACCAATTCCGTTACATAACCCATCATCTCTGAACAAAAATGAAACACTTCAAAGTTAATATAATATAAAGTAGAATGTAGTAAGAGTTAAATGAGTACAGTAGGTTATGATGGAAAGAATTTATATTTATCAGGACTCTTCAGTTCCCTTGGCACTTTTCATACAGCTCATCTCATTGAATTCCCAAATAGCCATATAAGTATGTTAGATATTATCTCTATCCTGACCACTAGGAACACGAGGTTTAAGTGGTTTTCCTCGAATCTCACGAATAACAAGTAGTAGAGTGGAGATTTGAGCCCTCGTCTTTCAGAGCCCTTGATTTTACTCACTATTCTGGGAAGTATGTAAAACTACTCATCCAAGGTGAGACACTATTTTGAGGCTGAAGACAAAACACATCTTCTCTTTCTCAGGCTTCCAACTTCAAATGCTAAATGAGTTTGAAGAACCTGTCAACTCACAGAGAAGCTGCACAGGAAAGCAAACGGAGTCCTCACCCAACAGAAATGGCTGAAAATTCTTTGAATGGTTAAAAAGGATCCCAGCATAAAAAGTGACTCCCCTTCGATCTCCTCTGGAGCTCCCTTGCTCAGTGGTTTTGGGTCCCTCTTCTGGAAACGCAGGCACAAAGCTTTTTGAGGCAGAGCCCTCTGCCTACCTCAAAGGACGGTTTTGTTGGCAGCAGATACTGTACCTGTCTCACTGGGGCCTTCAGAATGCTGAATCACCAGCTGAAGGGACAGCTCAAGGGCTTCCATTGATGTGGTTGACCAGAATAAAGTCGTTGTGGTCTCTCAGGAATTTAAGCCACCTGTAAGCTGCATTCTTTACATTCAGTTCATACAAGAACTGTGTGGGTCTGTCAGCTCCACTAAATGCTGTACATTTCTGGTCATGATCACACACCACCTTCTGCATTCCTTTCCTTTGAATGGATGCTTTTACTCTGGGGCATTTTAGCACGTGCTTCTCAAGCCCATAGTGTTCCTGTACAAACCCCAAAGTCTTGTTCTTGAAGTAGAGACAGGTATTCACCTGGGAGAGGGACTCCAGGACATCCACAGCTGTGCGTCCTCTTCTTTTGTTCCTCTTCCCCCACAGCCTATCACACGTCACTTGTCCCTGGGGCCAAAACATCACCATGGTGTGGAACCTTTCAGCTATGCACAGGTTGGCTCGAGCCAGGGGTATGATCTGTGTCTCTTTCCAAGCCATCTGCATAGGGCTCTCTTCACCCATTCCCTCCTAACTCAGGGATGACTGTGTAAGACTAGAAGGCAAACTAGAGTCTACCACAAAATGTAATGCAATAGGTTGTAATTCAATTGTGTTATTAGCTTTAAAAAAGGGTTCCTCTATTAATAAGGAAAATACTTCCACTGACAGCTTCTTATAAGCTCTATTGACTTTAATATCTATTCATTACCTCATAGGGCTTAGAGATACTTGTACATAGTAAATACTAAATGCCCATTGTAAATTAACAAATGAACAAATGTTACATGTAGATCCCTATAGTTGAATTTAAATAAACTCATAAAGAAATGCCTTAAAGTACAATTTATTGTGTCTCAATTGAGTATAATAAAATATAATTTATTATTATACATAACAAAGCAATATAATATGTAATATGGTAATACAATAAATATATTTTGAAATACACAACAAAATTTATTATATTTTAATTAGAGCATTAAAAGTACACTTGTATTAGTTCAATCTGTGCAATGTGTGTTACATTATATCAATATCCTGATAAGTATTCTGGGGACCTTAAAGATTAACAAGACACTGAACTTATTGTAAAGAAACCTAGATACAAATAACATTAAAAAGGAAAAATGTAAAAAATGATTGAAGGTGCTGTGTCTGAAAAGCATATCCTACTGAAATAGGATATCTTTTCTGATCTTTCAAAGATTTGGGATTCCTGTACCCATCACAGGCAATGACATAAAGCCAGTCAATCATGCCTTCCTTTCCATTTACAAAACCTCAGTGGTTACACAGTATATTATTTTTCTCAAACCAGCTGTTCCTTCCTTGTACATAGGAGAACTCTGGACTTTATCACTACCTCACCATCTTCCTGAAAAGTTGTTCTGACTACTTCATTAAATGAGGCTGCTTTGTCTGAATGACGTTCATCACCTCGCATAGCGTATTCTATTTTCTATGAGTTTATAGCCTAGGATAATAGATTTATTTTGCACATTTAGCTTCAATGCAAATGTTAACAATTAAAATCCATTATAGGTACTGCTAAACAGTGTGATATAGAGCAGAGTTTCTAATTTTTCTTTTCTGTCACATCACATGCTTTAGTTAGCTCTCTGCCAATGTGATCATGAACAACACCAGATTAGCAGGAACGCAGGTGCTTTTTATGTGATTGATGGCTACATATTGCTAAATATCCCTAGGAAAACATTACCTCATACAAGGAACAAAGTTATAACCACTGCTCTATTTAACATATAAATTCCATAAAAGAGTTGTTTTGTTCTTCCTAAAGATTACTAATTTCTTCTTCATTTTGCTTCTTAAATAAAATCTGTACATCACTATAGAGCAATGCTATGTAATCTGAATATCACACTGGATCACTACCTTCATAATGTGGGCACATTCATAAAATTTATTTAAGAAAATAGGTTGTGTATTTTCTTACCACTTGCACACTATGGGTCAGAGATCTAAACATTGTACCATCAGGATTCAAATACTATGGCTAATAGATATGGTTGCTCAACATAGAGTGAATAGTTATGCATACTAGCTGTGCATTGCAGTTATTAATGGGGTCTATAATTTTATTGCTTTGGATAGTGGTTTATCATTTCATCCTTGCCATCATTTTTAAATGAAAAGAATTGAACATAAAGTGTATAAATATACTGTATATTGTTAGAACAGTGTTCATGTCTGTAGTAGACCCATTCTTAGTGTAGATGCTATTTTACTTACTTTTTCCCCTTCTTTTGGTTCTTCTACCCTATCTCCCACACCTGAATACCCAAGGAACCTGGGACATTAGAAATTATTTATTTAGACTGCTTATGATCCCTAAGCCATATTTTGAGAAGTGATTATTACCATCTTAATTTCAAAATTCTGTGTCTTCTGTGGTTTTATATTGGTTCTTTCAAGATTCTGTTACTTTTTTTTTCACTTCAGGTTTTTATTTTCTATTGTTATCAGATTTAAATAGTCAGAGGCTAAGAGTCTTTGGACAGGAAATTATCCATATTGTGTTCCAAATCCTGTTACACGGGCTCTTCACAGTCAACCTTGTTTTACCTTGTTTGAAGTAGGGGGACCACAACCTAGAGTGTTTAGCTTGGGTTGAAGTGACTCCAAGGAAAGGGTGAACAGATCCTGGTGTTCATCTGGTGGGGCTACCACGAGAACCTGGATGAAAGTAGCTGAAATGTGATACAAAGGACTGGAAGGGCGGGAGCTGCAGTCGGAATGGCGGGGGGAGGTGTTCACTTCTGTTTTATAACGAGATGTAGCTGTCAATATACTGAATGCACCAATGATGCATGCAGTGATTCACTGCTGGCTTCTCCTCAGATTGGTTTGTATAGTTTTCTACTCCTTGCTGATCTGAAGAATTCCAGAGGCGAGAGTGTCATTTCCTATAAATAGTAGTCTAATGTCTACTTATGTGCACCTGGAACTGTTCTAGATTTATCTCAATCTCAAAGAGTGCAATTCTTGCCATTACCAGAATTATATTAGTTCTTTGAGTACACAGTCAAACAAGCAGGGGAATCATCTCACTAGAATTTTATCAAAATCTCAATAAATTATTAGACCCATAAATATTACTGGTCTGTCACACTTGCAAAAAAAAAATCCTATAAGCAGGAGCATTACTGTTCACGATGCTCAATCTTGCATTCTTGTTCGTCTTCTAATTTCTATGACCTAAATCCTCCTCTACTTCAAGTGTTTTGAGCTCCATTTAAGAACTCATCACTTCATCAAATTTGTCAATTCATAACTTTCACCTAAGATATGGTCATAACCACTTCAAAGTTTTCAGTCTCTCATTCTCAACATTACTTTGTCTGACCTCAAAGTCTACTGAGCCCCTCCTCCTCTCCAGAATCTGTTGTAAGCATTGTGGATATGATGAACTTGAACAAATGGTCCCAGTATCACAGAGCTCAGAGTCTGGTAGGCAAACAGCCAAATCAATAACTAAAACTACATGTTACCTTTATGTATTTCTATAGGGAAGCCCAGGGGGTCAGAGGAGAACACAAGGACTTGTTGAAATGGAAAAAAAGGCAGGACTTCCTAGATGAGGTCATAAGCTAAGACCTACAATGAGGAGGAGAAGTCAAGTAATAGAGTGTCTAGAGTTTGTCCAACTAGGAATTTTTTCATTTCCTGATCAAAGGTCTAGTACTTCAGGATTATCAACCAATGCACCCTCATAAGGCCTCACGGTTTATATTACATATATCTCCTGACTTACACTGTACAGTTATAAATAATGTCACTGAGATTCATGGGAAGTCTTGTTCTGTTTCAACTGCTTCTGAGAGAGAGCTCAGAGATACAGGATGGAAGACGATCCAGTTCACAAAGGCATTCACAGTTACCTTGGTCTTAGCATCACCACAGAGTAAGTCATGTTGCTGTTGTTTTACAAATAGGAAAACTGGAGTCTGGAGAGGTTAAGTAATAGGAAAGAAATGCCTAGTAAGTAGAGAAATCAACATTCATAATCATCATCTGACTAGCCTACATACAACTAGTAGATTCTACATCAAGAAATGGCTGAGAAAATTTTGTAACTTGAAGAGCTAATCAAATATTTTTTGTATATTGGGAAAATTCATACATACCCATGAATGACCAACTCACCCATCATTTCAAAAAATACTTTCTCATTGTAGCCAGTGGGACTATTTTAGTTTCTTTTAGTATAGTGTGTAATGTAAGTTAAAGGAGATTCTTGGCTGAATGCATAAATTAATTAATATATTTCATAGCCACACACCTTTCTATCCTATCTAGTCTCACACTGGATTGGGTTATGGTTATGGTGGTGTTTGTATATTGATCAGCCAGTTAGATTGTGGAATTCTAGATGGGTGGGATCAGTTTTAATCACCTTTCTGTTTTGTCACTTCACTCAGATCCTGGCAGAGAGGTATTTGGTAAATGTATATTATGTGAATGAGTGACTTAGCAGAAAAACGAATGAATGAAATGAGGGAAAGAAAGGAAAGGATACTAGAAATTAATGCTAAACGGTGAGCTATCCCAATAATATTATGTGAACCTCTCCCAGCATGTGCCTTATTTTCTTCCATAGAAAGGGGATGTGAGAGGCTTTCAGCAATTTCCAGGGATCCATGCGCTTCCTTTCTGGCAGGGGGTGCAAATGCTATGCATTATTTTAGGTTTTGCTACCTCATGCAGGGACACATCGGCCTATCGAATCTAGCAAGATAGATGGCCTCACCTTTGGAAACTACAGAGAAACTTGTTGTTCCAAGACCTGTGGAGGGAATGGCTGCTGTAATGACCTCTGAATTGCCTTCCCTATCATCCCCCCTACACCCCGTTTCGGAGAAACAGTACACGTGTACACTTCATTCTGTCCCGTTTTCTTCATTTTGTTCTTTAGTTCCAGTTTTGCCTTGACTCCTGGCTTCTGCAAGGGCCTAAGAATTTTCTAAATCTATAAAATTCTGGCTCCATTTTACTTAACAACCGCTCCTTCATTTCTCTCTTGTATTTTACTGTAACCAGCCAGGAGGAATCAAGC